GTGTTGGCCTTGACATCGCATTGGTCTCTGAGGGCCGGGCTGAAGGGTCGTTCGGAGGCCCCGAGAGATCCCGTGTCATGCGTCTTGGTGTGCTGACGGCACGTGTCCGCGTAGTGTGGCGTGCCATTGTCATGCAATGGTAATGTTTGCATGTCTGTGTGTTTAGCTTAGCTCGATCGGCTTAATTTTAGTGGTTTCCAATGACATCAGCTTGTATCGTCTCAGATCAGCATCGGGGTTGCAGCGTCGCTGTGCCCGGGAGGCCCCCGGACCAGTAAACTTAGCCACCGGAGTATCTATATGCATGTATCCTTAGTCAGGGTGTGCAGTTATGTTTGTTTGCCGTCAGATATTAAGTCGATCGTGAATCAGATCGCCGCAAAACCTCGTCCGCTATGACGCTGCGGTAAACGGCTCCCCGGCCCCCTCGTTACATAAACACTGTCGGGGGGTGGACAACCTTTGTCACCAGGCTCGAGCCGCCACGGGACTTCTGCTGCTGCTGCTGCCGCTGGTGCCGCTGCTCCTCGCGGCCGCGTCGCCGGCGACGGATGGCGTCACGGACGAATCGGTGACGTTGTACAGTGACGTCATGGACGTAGTAGCGGAGCTGGAGGCGCGGCCGGGAGCCTGGTCCCTGGTGCCGTCCAGGTGAGGCGATGGGGTGGATTGGAGCGGCCATGTGTTGCTGTGGGGCTGGACGAAACCTGGCGTGATACCGTATACCATGGCAGGGACCACACACAAATTTTGGCGTGTGAGTCGCGTATGATCATAGGCAACAAGCTTTCTCTATCCCTATGGCACTGTGGCAATGTTATGGGGCGCCAGTTATTTGACCTTGGTATGTGATCCCGGCCCTTCAAAGAACCCCGTTAATCGACAGGCAATGAGATTCTTCTGGTCGAAGCTCTCATCTTTTTTGTCCGCGCCGACGACGCGAGCGTTGTGGTCTCAATATCCCAAGTCCATCCACCCGCCTTCAAATGTACTGACTTGTCCGTCCTAAGTCCACGGCGGTGACCGGCCAGGTAATGAGCGCCGCCACCGCGTGGTGAACGCGCGCCGAAAACTCCCCGCGGCAGGAATCGAACCCAATCCTATAAGTCTCCAGCCCAGCGTCTTCCTACGCGCGCCTGTGTGGTGACGCGGCGCCGCGCCCGCCCTCAGAGCGGGTGCGCCGTCGCTGGGCTGGGGCCGGCCGCGCCGCTCGCCGGCGCAGCAAGACCCGCCGCCGAAGAAGCGCCGTCGCAAGGGGCGCCGCCGCGGCAGGAAGCGCGGGCGAGGCCGCGGCCGCAAGCGCACCACCACCACCGCTGCGCCCACCGAGGTAAGGGCGACGGCACGGCACGGCACGCACGGCACCGGGAGGGGAGGAACAGTAGGTGTTAGGGTCACCCGTGTGACCAGCCGACCAAAGCGTGCATCCAGTCTTTCTGAACGTGCAGTGAAACAGTCCTTCTGGACAGATGGTGTAGTAAACGTGCTGAATGTAGCGGCCTATCCACGCGAGGTGTGGGTAAAAGAGGCGAAATATTCCTCTAAACCACGCGATGCAGGTAGTGCTGTGGCGACCGGACCCGATTGCCCGGATTTGGCGTTCTTCGGTGACGCCTCGGCTTCTACTCATCTGCCGCGCAGGCTCCAACAACGACACCAAAC